CTGGCCCTATCAGGCAATATAATGGAGTCCTCCAGGGGTTGATGTTTAACGTGATGGCCTTCAACGTTGAATCATTCACAAGCGAAACATCATATTTACAAATTAAAAATAATTTATGAATAAAACTTTTATATACATGTTCTTAGCGATTTAAAACCATAAGGCTGAAAAATGTACTTCAATAAAAAGAAAAGCTCAAAATCAACTCCAAATTTATAGTCGAAAATTCAAATTTTGGCTGGTAAGCATAAGCATAAGCGAAAAAATTCAAATCTTCAGCTACCTATTACGTGTATGTTCCATACAGTCAGAGCAAGCCTTCTTTTCTTTTACGGTTTGTTCAGAAAGATTACCCAGGCTGTGTTTAGATGTTGTATTTGAAGTATACGGACACACATTTGAAGTATTAAACGTAGCAAAACAAATTACAGATTTCGACTGTAAACTGCGAGACGAATCTCTTGAGCCTAATTAATCTGTCATTAGGACATGTGGATTACTTTAGCACTTATGGCTAATCATGATATAATTAGGCTCAAAAAATTCGTCATTAATACTTGTTGAGAAGTCTAAAGAACACCAATGTAACATTTTTAATTTACAAATGATTAAAGATAGCTCTAAAAGGAGGTACATCATTCACTTTGGAAGCATAGAAATTACCACATTAATTAAAAAAAGAGAAGACATGCACCATTAGATTGTGATGGGATCAAATTAAGCAAATATATGATGGGTTCGAGAAATTACGGTACAAGAGGTAGATGTGTTCTATTTTAGTTACCAAAATGGCGAAACCTAGGACTATCAACTAAAGAAAGGTTCACCGAACTTTAGAAAGGTTTTGTAATACCCTGAGTTTCAAATTAGTGTATCTCAGGAAATATTAGAACAGACACATTAAAGTTCAACTTTTAAACTGTTGTTCGAATAGGCGATCAGGAATTGTGGATGCGTAAGGCTCGTCGAGTAGTGCAAAATAGGACGTCGTCGATGTTGCTGTGTTTCTCCTGTTCCTAGTGGTAGGTTTGGATTTTCCCCTTCTCCTCTGTTTGATGCGGCTGCAGCACCGTCCTCTTCATGCTGTTGCTGCCTATCTTTGCCTGCTTGCCGTTACTGCTGCTTGCTGATCGGGTGCTGTTGCTTGTTGCTGCACCAGGAAGAAGAGAAGAACATAAAGGAGGGAGAGAAGGGGAAATAAGATAAAAGAAGGGAAATTTGGTGGATATTTCTGAATTCATTGTTTTTATTACAAAATAATACTGCTAGGTAATCCGTTTTAGTCCCTAGTTGTTTCTAATTTATATATAAGACGATCTATTTGGAAATAGCTCGATTTTATTTTATTGGCAGCTAGGCTGAAACCGTATTTTTAAATCTGGTAATTATTCATAGAGATTCAAGTTTGGTGACCTAAATAAGATTTTTAGGATTCGGTGTTATCATTCCAAAGCCGCTGGTTTTGTTTGATTCCGATAAACGGTTTAGAAGAAACAACAGAAAAAATACTGCAGACCTGGTCCGAAAACCAGGACAACAATTCATTTTCCTTAATCTGGGATTTACATAGGCGTAATCTGATTTTTCTCCCAACATGAAAGTTGTAGAAAATTTTGTCTAGATGTCATAAGTTCTATTATTTGCTAAATTTCGTTAGGCGGATTGTGAGTTACACATAAAACTATAATGAAACTGCTATAGGTTGTTCAATACTAATCGATAAATATATTTTTTAGGTTTTTGTTTTAGTAAATGTCCCTTATAACTATAGTTAGTCAAATATAAATGTTTACTTGTAGCTTTAATCCACAGGTGTGGAGAGATCCGGTGTGGAGAGTGTTGCATCGGGTTACCGTCAAGGTTAAAGGCAAGTGCATATATAACGAACTAATTATGTGATTCATGGATTGTTTGCTCTATCTATTTATTTCTGGTATATTTTCTACTACCTCCGTTTCAGGTTATAAGACTTTCTAGCATTGCCCACATTCATATAGATGTTAATAAATCTAGGCACGCATATATGTCTAGATTCATCAACATAAATATGAATATGGGCAATGCTAGAAAGTCTTATAATATGAAACAGAGGAAGTATGTGATAAGTGATTGCTTATGTTCAGATTGTTGTTCACATCATTTTGATTTCAAGTTTATCTTATGTTTACGACGTTATTCTTGTTTCAATATTCCAGATTCTGGTTTTGGTTAAATAATTCAAGTTCGATGCTTGCCATGGATGTGCAATATGATTTCAATTTGGTTCTTTGTTTCATGTTTCAGTTATTCATGTTCCATACGAGTCATGCGGGATAATCATTAATGGTGAAGAACAATAGAACTCATAGCTTGAAGTTCTCCTGACCATATGCATCCTAAGTTTTCACACCTTCTTTCCAAAGAATCTCAAGATCATCGATAACAGGCTCCAAGAACACATCGATATCATTGCCGGGTTGTCTCGGACCTTAGATTAACAAGCACGACATAATATATTTCCTTTTGAAGCACAAGCATGGCGGGAGGTTATAGTTTGCAATAAGAACTAGCCAAGTACTGTGAGAACTGCTCATGTCTCCGAAAGTATTCATGCCATCCATACACAAACATATCCTCATATTTCTGGGGTCGGCAGCAAAGTGTTTGTGCATTCGATCGATATAAATTCCTCCATTGAATCGAATCCGCAGGATGTCTTAGCAAACCATCGTTCCTTCTCTCTGTGGCATGCCAACGTACTAACTTTGCTTCCTTGGGGCTGGCAAATATTCTCTTGAAATGATCAATGATGGGTAGATACCACACAATCATCGCCGGACCACTCCGCTTTGACTTTTTTTCCTCCCCCGCACTTTTCTTTCGCTTGTATCAAGAAGTCTTGCAGACAGGACAAGCATCTGAGTCCGCATATTGCTTGTGGTATAATATGCAGTTGTTTGGACAAGCGTGAATTATACGGACCTCTAACCCCGGAGGACACATAACCTGCTTTGCTTCATATGTCGTCTCGGGCAATGTGTTCTCTTCAGGAAGCATGGCCTTCAGTATTCCCAAAAGTTATGTAAAACTCTTGTCTATCCATCCACTACTTGTATTCAGCTTCATTAGGTCCAAGGTAGCTGACAATTTGGTGTGTTTTGGCTTGCATCCGTCGTATAGAAGTGTCTCCGAGTCACTGACCAACCTGCTGAACTTCATGAAATCTCTCTCATTGTAAGTTGGGTCCTCAACATCTCGTGACATGTCTTGCAGCAGATCAGGGTCCACATCAACCATTTCACCGCCAAATGGAGACGGTATAAACATGTCATGCTCATCTTCATCTCTTTCTTCATGATTGTCTGCACTATTTGTGTCTGCAACTGCACCACTTCCCGATTCTTGCTCTCCATACTTCACCCAACATGCATATCCCTTCATGAATCCTCGTCATATCAAGTGAGCGTGTATGTCCTCCCTTTTTTAAACATAGTCTCATTCTTGCAATCGCTACATGGACAACACATGTATTTGTTGTTTCTTCTTCTCCTATCCTCCTCCGCGGCGTTCATAAAGCTTAATATGTCATCTCTATACTCCTTGAAATGATGTTTCGAAGTAGTCGCATACATCCAACTTTGGTCCATTGCTGCAAAAATAAACAAAATATTAGTTAACATCTTATAAGATAAGTACTACTAAATTAATAAGAAATGATTAAGCAACTTTTTACATACTTTTATGATTTTCCTTTTTTCTTTGAAAAAAATGACAAAAATTCGCCTCTTCAACCTCCCAGCAAAATAGTGTTCCGTGAACACTGGGATAACTTCAGACAACACATGGGTGGAGTATTTATAGTGTGCAAAACATATCTCAATCGGGCCAAAGAAACAAGATCTTTAACGAGCGCACAATTATCTCTGAAGGACATAAATAAAAGCCCGTCACCGATATGAATCATTAGTTGGGCTCGATTGAGATATAGGAGGTAATCTCAATCGCCCTAACAGTGTGCCCATCACAGATGAGTGTCATCGGCGACGGGGTATAGGTATATGCACCTCGATTATATCTGTACGAGTACATATACAACGGTGTAATTTTAGGCTCGATTAAGGTGACTTCTTTCTGACGGCCCACGTAGCCTAGGCATGTGAGGGGCTGTCACAGATGAGATTATCTCTACTAGTGGGAGGGACCGTGTGGTTGAAAGCTGACTGATAATGGAGATTGGATCTGATTGGTTGTTGTTGCTTGAGGATGAATGGGACGATGACAACAAACTACTACATCTTGATGGGGTTGACGGCTTGATGGGATGGCCGCCACTGGCGTGCCGGTGACATGCTTGGACTCATCCACTGGGAAGGAAGAAGATAAGGAAGAGTGAAAGGAAGAAGATGAAATTGATGAGTGGGTCCCACGTGTAGTTGAGCCAATCATCATATATGATCAGTTAGAGTGAAGTAGAGTCCACATAAGTAGTTAAGAGGATTTGCTTCCCACTAGCTGCATCCATAATACTATCGCTGATATTGGATTGATCGGAATAACAAGATAAATTTATCAGGCTTACTACTTCCTTCGTTCTAAAATATAAGTATTTTTGGATTTCGACCCAGTCTTCGAGATACTAATTTAATCAACAATATCTTTATATATTTTAAATGAAATGAGTTGCATATCACTATAAGAGTTTGTTTAATGATAGAGTTTGTTTAATGATAAGTACAGTAACATCAATTTTATATGATTGATTTTTTTTATCTTTCTGCTATTAATATTTAAAGTTAAGAATACAAAATCTCTATCCAGATTCGTGCTACTAGATGGTGTTTAATTTAGTATATATTTTTTCATGGCTTAGAGCTTGAACACATATTAAAAAACTCCAAACTAATTATAAACTTAAAGATTCAAACTTAAGCTCAAAAACTGGTAAGGCCCTCCAGTTTTTTTCCCCCCTGAAACCTCCCGATCATTTGCGAATATCAGCGAAAAGCTCCAAACTGACATATGCTACTACAGCTTGTCTAGAGCATTTCGGCGGAAAGCTCCCCGAAAACTAAAAATTTCCCCGCCTCTTCCCGCCTCGCCACCGCCGCCGCTCGCCTCACCGATGACGCCGTCGCACGGCGCCGCGGCTGCGGCGGCGTCGTCCTCCGCCGGCGCCGGGCGGAGGGCCGCGACATTCGCGGGGGCGAGCGTGTTCCTGTCGCGGAGCCTGGTGGCACCCGAGGTGTACGACGCCGTGCACGACGCGCTCCGCCTCAACGGCGCCGAGGTCTTCCTCTGCGCCGACCCCGCCCGGACGGGGCCGCTCGACTTCCACGTCATCTCCTCCTCCTCCCACGTACGCGAACCTAGCTCCTCCCCAACCCCCCCACATCCGCGCGATGATGCGGCTGGCTCTTTCGTTCCCCAAAACCCTAACAAAATGTTGGCTTCCGATCTGTTGCCTTCTTTTGCAGGAGAGGTTCGCGGATCTGAGAGCCAAAGGCTGCAATTTACTCGGTAAAATGCGCTGATCTCCCTGCAGTTTGGCGACGCGGCTATTAATTTTCTGTACTGGCTGTGAACTGTTAACCCCTTAGTAGCGGAATTAGCCCAGAGCGTAATTGTACTTAACTGATTTGAATACCTAGAAAATTGGAAATAGAGCAATTTGTGGATTGGAATCTACAAGTTTGTGCATCCATTACAGATTGGCTAAGGTTTTCGTGGCTAACTGTGCTAATTGCACTGAAACTAGTTGGTTTGGAATTGTCTTACAATAGAGGTTAGTTCTTCAGATTATTGCAGTACTAGATGACAATAGCTGAAGGGTTTGAGAGCATTTTAGATATGAGGGTTAGAGGATGCAGTTTGCTTGTGGTCAGCTAAAATTTTAATTTAGGGCTACCATTTCTTAAATCTGGATAGCATCTTCGAGAAGACGAGAATAGCTTACGACCTCAAAATGTAGTGAAGTTGGCTAAATTACTTTATTTAAGTAGCTGAATCTTCAGATTGAGAATCTGAGATTTCGGTGTGGCTCTGTCTGATAATGATTACTATTACGAGTCTTTTTCAGGACAAATTCCGTTATATTTTGAGTAAACATGCCTTTTTTTATGACTTAAATTTTCGTATGCTATACACTGCTTATAGTTCAGATATGTTGGCGCATGTTTTCACACCTGATGTGGAATAGTTTGGTGGCTAAATGTTCCACTAGTTTGTATGCTTCTCTTTCATAATGTTATTAGTTACTCCCTCCGTTTCATGTTATAAATCGTTTTACTTTTTTCTTAGTCAAAGTTCTTTAGGTTTGACCAAGTTTACAGAAAAAATTAGCAACATCTACAACACCAAATTAGTTTTATTAAATTTAATATTGAATATATTTTGATAATATGTTTGTTTTGTATTGGAAATGTTAGCATATTTTTCTATAAACTAAGTTTGACTAAGAAAAAAGTCAAACGACTTATAATATGAAACGCAGGAAGTACTAAAGATCGTTATTTTGAAAAAAATCAATCTACATAAAATGTTCTTGCAACTTGAAAATTTGATCTCATACATGTTTCTCTCTTCTATCATGCCTCTTGTTAATACAACTAAGATATGACATGTTTTCTAATTGCTGTAGCACATAAATTTTTCTAAGGTTGAAACCACTGTCAACCAAAACTATCACTTATTACCAGTGTTGTGGAAGATGCGATACGGGTGGTGGGCGGAGAGGGTAGTAGGGTACCGCCAAATGATTTATCAGAATTTGACGGAAATTTAACGTTATGCAAATATATGTATATATTTGATAATAATTTGCCTTTTTAAGAGGTAAATGCATACACCTACATATGTTGATCATATTCCTATAATAATGTTTAAATAGAACATCCATAACGTTCATAATGCATAGCTGTGCCTTAACTAAAAGAACTTCAAGCATGCACATCTGCTTAAGATTTAAACAAAAGATCAAAATAAGATCAACAATACATGAGAGATTATTGGATTTGGAAGAGAATTAGAGGGAAAGAAAAGAAACAAATGTACAGGCTGTACAACTAGCTATATACTACTAGTAGAGAAGATAGCTAATGGGCAAGGGTAGTTGTTTTGCAGACTGGGCCTTGTGATCACAATGGATTATGTGGCCGATTAGTCGGAAACGGCTCATTAATTGGCAATGATGGTAATTATGCGTTCTCAAACGACTAATGAAGACCGTTTTGCAAAAACGTGACAGACAACTCACTGACTCAGATTTAACAGCCGTTTATATGGCCGTACCAACCGTTTTCCACAACACTGCTTGTTACCACTATTGTTCTTAATTTAGCTTTAAATGTAAGACCAGGTTTAATTTGACAGGACCACAGTGCATTCTTTCCTGTGCGAAGGAACACCGCTTCCTACCTAAGCAAGGTTATACTTGTTGTCTTGCAATGGATGGGGTTAAGATACTTTGCTCAGGTTTTGAAAAAGATGAGAAGGTATATGTATCATAACTTATTGTACTGTCATAGTTCCAAATGCACAATGTATTTATCTCTATTTTGTTTTTGTTGTTCCAGGCAAAGATTGAACAATTAGTGACAGCTATGGGAGGTACTTTACAAAACAAAGCATACACGGATGCTAACTTTGTAATTGCAAAGGATGTATTGGCTGCCAAATACAAAGTAAGTTACGCTTAAAGCAGTTAACATGGAGCGGACTTGATTTGCTAATTTTGCTATTTCACTTGCTGTAGTATGACAAATGGTATATGCTTACTTTACACTGATATTTTCTATATAGCTTATCTACAATTAGGAGTAAAACCTTTGGCGTTAATTAGTTGTTAATAACTTAATATAGAAAATTGCCATGGTATATGTACTGTTCAAACAAATTCCTTCACTTCTGTTAGGAAAATGTTCAGGTCTGTCCATAGTTGCTGTTTAGTCCTCCTAAAACTAAAAGCATTACGCATTTGTGGTATTTCATTCGTTGTTATCTGGTCCTATGCATACCTAGTGCCCTATTTAACTCTATTGCATTCCTTCATTATCTCTCCTTTGGTTACCCTCTAAAGTTCTTAAACTAGAAATTACACTAACACATGAAACTGAAGCTTGGTTTATTGCCTTTATTTTTCACTTGCATTTATAACATGAGATGGTTCTGATTTTGAGGGGTAGCTTGGCATTGCTGTGCTGTGCCATGCTGGTAAATCTGGTTAGATCAGAAAAGCAGGTCATTGACTATTAATTTAAAGATATATAATTGACACTGCTGATTATAAACCACCGTAGTGCCAAATTATGCCATAATTCATCTGGTCTCCATCTCACCACAACCTAATGGATACCATTTTCTGGGCTTTTGGGACTTGTATAGCAAACCTTAACAGAAAATTTTGTTTGATTTATTGCTCATATTGAGGCTGGCACTTTTGTGCTGAACAGAGCCATTTGGTTCAACTAGATAGGGTTGATTATGACTATATTAACATTTAACATGAGTAATTTTCATGGAAGATTTATGTATCTTCTTACCTCTCCCTCCGTTCCAAAACATAAGCATTTCTAGGTTCTTTAGCAAAAACTAAGTTAGAGGGAAAATATTCTCTTTTGGTCATTTCAATGGTCAAATTTTGAACTTTGAATTGCCTAGATTCCCTTCCCAAGCATCTCATTTGCTGAAAATGTATAGATTTCCGTGCATGGGAATCAGTGCCCCAGAAATGCTTATATTGTGGTATAAATAATGAATCCTATAAATGCTTATATTTTGGGAGTATTATTTTACCAGTTGAGCTTCTGTATCACTATCAAAAGCTCTTATGCTGTAAAACTAGCAAGACTAATTATCTGCTATCTTTGGTTTCTGATAACTTCTTAAAATCTGGAAGGTTAGAAATTATTGTTTTGTAACTTGACATCACACTGTTACTGCGGTTGACATGATATGACTAATAGAGAAACTGCAAAATGCTTTAATATTTTTGTTTTCTGCAGTGGGCTGTGAATACTCTGAAGAAGCCTATTGTCAGCAGGAACTGGTTAGAGCAATGTTGGATTGAACATCGTGTTGTACCTCATGAACCTTACAGAATCCCTCCTTTTTCTGGGTTGAATATTTGCATCACCAAACTGAATGTAGGTAGGTGCAGCTGAATTCTATTTTAGCTGGAGATGGAGTGAGCTCAACTTTTCTTAAACAATTCATATGCTTTATTTTGTTTAATCAGACGAACGGAGGGAGTTGGCAAAAATAATAGTGCAGAATGGTGGCCAGTATTCAGCAAATCTTACACGGCGGTGCACTCATTTAGTTTCAAATATATCCTTTGGTGTTTCTGCATATAGTTTTCCTGATTTGGGATTTTGTTTGTTCAAACCAGTCATTGCATCTCTTTTATTTTTAAGCTTATACTTCTAATAAAGGATATATACTTTGCTGGCCAATATTCAGCTAAAACAAGTAGTATTGCAACAAGATAAAGACCATCCACATGGCTTCAGTGAACACATCCAAAGACATTCAGCTAAAACATCTGATGATTAATATTTCCATATACGAGGCCAGAAATATTAGTTCAAATTCCTGCAGGCCATGCATCTGACACATCCATCCCTACAATGAAAACTACCATTGGTAGAAACTAACTCTAGATTATGAGAATTGACTTAATTTTTACTGTACTGTTGGTGGCATGTACTGCTTAGCACACAGTAAGTGTTCTTCATTTTATCGCAATGCATTTATATATTATTGTTAGAAATTTTAAGAAAACTTTTCTTAACATGCCATTTTACGAACCTGGAGGTGACAAGTATGTTGTGGCCCAAAAATGGGGTAATATCCACATAGTAGTTCCCAAATGGATCGACCAATCTGTTGCTCGAAAAGGTAAAACAATCTACCTACATGGGCTATTATTGATTTTGCTGGTGTGACATGTTTGTTTCTCCTACAGAAACTCTAAAGTTTGTAAGGTTAAACTAACTTCATGATTTCTTTCTTCACTGAAAAACAGTTTGCCTTGATGAAAGTGCATACCTTGTTTGTCAGAATTCCACTAATATTAATGGTGTAAAACATTCCCTTAAGGAACAACACAACCCTGAGATCAGTAGTGCAAGTTTTCAACCTGTTCCAACAACATCTGTAGATGACTCAGTATCAACGTCACAGTATGTGCCTGCTTCATTTGATGACGCTTCAAAGATCTGCAGTACTGATATTGGCGCACCTAGTTTCCAAGAGACAAAAGAACTACAGGTTGATAGCCATGTTGCTGAGGACTCAGAGGCAGAAGATGATGACCTTTATTTATCAAATTGTAGAATTTCTCTGGTGGGTTTTGAGGAGAAAGAGTCGTCAAGGTTAGTCATGATGATACGCAATGGTGGTGGATCCCGGCATGTTATGTTAAGTGAGAGACTCACACATATTATTCTTGGTGCACCATCAGAGGAGTAAGTTCATCCTACCATGTCTTCTTCATTTGCCAGTTTTATTGTGAACTGGGTAAGGTAGCAGCAAATGATACTTATGTCTTAGCAGAGAAAAAAAGGAGGTGAGACGTCTGGCTGCTTGGGGTGTAATCAATGTGGTAAAAGCAACATGGTTAGAAGACTGCAACAAAGCAAAAAAGGAGGTGAAAGTATCCCCAAGTTATGTGGCTAATGAGTTGCTCGCGAAAGGTATATATTATAGAATCACCAGGTCTATTTGTATCCATATTATTGAGATGAATCACACTAAATCATATTTTTTCCTTGACTTCATTTTCTATTGTGTTTTCTACCTTTTGAACTCAGAGTTTTCATGTGCGGTTATGGAAAAAACTGTTATGCGGGAAACAAAAGCAGCCAAAAACTCAGGTGGAATTTTTCATATTCCAACCGTCAATGACTTGCATGATAAACAACTTGGAAACGATCTGTCATCTGAAAGAAAATCAGCACGGGGCAAACATGAAACCATGAATAGTAACCGGACAGCAACGAAGTCTGCAATATCAAGTCAACAGAATGGAGTGGCTAGTACTAGCGAGTACCACCCCAAATTTCAAGTAAACTCTTCTGCAATAAATCGGCAGAGTAGCAGATCATCAAATACTTTCAAAGGGAGAATATTTTGTTTCTCAAATTCATTTTCCCACGATCGGGTATGCTAAGGCATTAATATGCCAATAACTTCTGCTGTTGCTATCAATTTTTTATTTGTGCCACCTCCCTTTTCCACTTAAGATGACTTACAATCAAATGAACAGTAATATGCTGTTAAAGTAATACGAGTTGCTTCCTGCAGAAAAAGAAATGTTGATCCTTCAACATTTTGTTCCAGAACTACAGAAAAAAAAGCTTAATCATATTCATCTATGTGTTGTATTCATTTGCTGTATTTTCTGTTAACACAATGGCCATTTTCATCTTTGATCAGAGAGCTCAGGTTGTTGACTGGGTCAGAGAAGGTGGAGGCATTATGGTGGATGATGCACAATCAACAGTTGTGGATTTCATTATCGAGAGCCACGGACAGAATAGCATGCTCCGCGACTCTTCTCATTCAACTGCTGTTTCCACTCATTGGATACGCTCATGTTTGGAGGTACATCCCTATGAGAATGGTCACTTCTTCACTCTGTTATTTATTTCAAGAAGCAGACAGTTGATGTCCTACACTTGTTTCAAATCCTTACATTAGAAGTTTTGTGTAGGAGGGCTGCTTCCAAGATGTGGGAAGCCATCCTATTTTCTCACCTTTGTGCTGTCGCATCCCGTTTCCTGGGTTTGAAGATTTTCGTTTCTGTGTGTCACAATATGAAGAGAAAGATAGACTTCTGCTGAAGAACTTGTGCTTTATCCTCGGAAGTAAATTTACAGAGAAAGCAACAAAGAAAGTGACCCATCTTATCTGCAAATTTGCAAGTGGTCCAAAGTATGAGGCTTACTATAGTAGGGGAATTCCAACCATAACAGCAGAGTGGCTCTTTGAGTGTGTAAGACAGGTATCATCTTTCATGCAATCACGCATTTTTTTTTGTTGGGTGCTATGGTCTTGTTGATGATGGTTTGTGAGTTGTGACCATTGGATTGATTAACACCTAAAGATATATAGCACACTGTTTGCAGGATAGAATTGTCCCTTTTGACCAGTTTCAGCCAAAACCACCTACTTCTCAGGACAGAGATGCTGGTCTATGCACTGTTAGTCAATATCCCACACAGGCCGCAAAGACAATTTCCAGATTTGACTGCTCTGAGTCGCATACTGAATCTCAATTACCAAGAAGCAGTTCAAAATACAACTCCGGTAATTGTTATTGTTACATGTTATGAGAAATAATTTCCTTTTGTCAGAACAAACTTATCAGTGTTAGATTAGCAGGTAATGCCTCTGTTAATGAGGAACCAAATGATCCTGGTGTTAGTAAAAGGAGGCGATTATCCGAGTTTGGCAAAGCTAATGATACATCTGGAAACATAGGAAGAACTGAGGAACTCCAGGATAGTACCCCTGTTCCTGATGTTGCAGATGCAATAGAGGACCTACTGGTTCAATCATCCAAGGTATATAATTCGTAGATATTACTATTTCAAGTAGACAAGAGCATGCATTGATGCATATGTTTATAGCACACTGCCTAAAAGAGCAACCTACATCGTTCTTCTCATTGCAGATTCAGGACGTACAACCTCCTAGGAGTGTATCCTGCACATATTTGAGATTTGTGCTTGATTACTTGTTCTTTGCTGTTTACTCTCCATACTTAAGTCATCATTTCTAGGATCCTTAACTTCTAATGCAGATTTTTGCACCCGATGATTCTGTTCTTAATCAAGATCAGGAAAATACACACTCTTTTGGCATTTCAAGGCACTGGTTGAACATGTAAGTTGGTCATTGTTCAGCCTTTTCCATCATGTCTGTCATACAGGAACATCGAAACTTCTGATTTTTGTATATTTCCTTAAAGTGCACAACTACATGGGATAATGGATTATTCTGCAAATATAAACTTCTATGGCTACTATAACTTTCCTTTTTTTGTTTATCAAGCTGTAGATCGTCCCTAATTGTAATAGCTTTTGCAATCCTGTATACACCGATCTATTCAATCACAGATATCTGCTTGCTAATGCTTGCAATGTTAACATGCAAATTTGAACAGATCAGCATGTTTCTCTTTCCTAATCCTTATCTCACATAAAACAACATATGCAGTTACTATCAGAACTCAGCAGAAATTTTATAGTTGCATTGTATTTACTCACTTGCATCTCAATGTGTTTCCCTCGCTGCCATCTTTTTCATTCAGGCCACAGAAGCTACACAGCACCCCTGACACGAAAGTTCAAAGTGGGAACTCAGCCACCACCTCTGCTGCCCCTCCTGCCGCAGCCACTGCCTATTATCCTTTCAGTGAAACTCAGACTGAGTCTCAGGTTTGCAGTCTATTGTGCTTCCTATTTGGCAAGTTTATACCACCAGTGCCCAACTCATGCAAAGCACCGGTCTATTGCGCAGGTCGTTGGCTATGAAGAAGATTTGACTGGCAGGCAAAAGATTATCGACAGAGTTCGTTCTCAGAGCATTAATGTCACCCCGGCAGCTGAAATGTCTTCCGATACTTAGGAGACGATCAGATCTGTCCATAAATTGCAGTGGAAGAACAATAGTATCATGAAATCTACCTGTCCAGCCTTGTTGGTATTTTTCAGCAAGACAGCAAGAGTGCAAGACAGATGGAATATAATCTGGAGGCTATTCCAAGGCAGAGAACATGTGCGAATGGTCACCAAGTTCAGAAGATTCTCATGGAATGTCACTGAGCAAAGTGCCTGTACCTCAACTTTGGCATCCAGTAAATCTAACCCAGCTGTATATTACCAAGAACGTTTCTTGATTATTAGATCCGAGGGTAGCAAAGCTAATGGAGACGCTCTTTTTTTTTTTGGTTGAGTACAGTGGCTCTGGAGCGTGTAGCATGTCAAAAAGGCTGTACACTCTAGTATTTAGCAGCTCAGTTGGTGACTTGGTGTTATGGTTGGCTTATGAAAGCACCAGAGGCCAAATTTTGTTCATCTCTCGTATGATGTACAGGGGCAGATCTGAAAGACGGAGAAGCAGGTTAGAGTCCAGAACTGAAGGGCCAAACTTTGTCCTGTTTCGAATTACAATTTGGCTGTTTTGCACAATTCAACGGAAAATTTAACACAGGCAAGTAATCTGTCTGTAAGTAACACAACGTTGCGTGATCTATTCTGGTCGACCACACGAGCTACTGACTTGCAGTTGCAAGTTACGAGTAGCCTCCTTTGGAAATTAGAATGCGGGATATTTCCTAATTACTACTTAATCAAATTGGGGATAAGAATGTGGGATATTTCTTAATTACTTTTATTCAAATTGGCATGTGTTTCTTGAATTTGAACAGCGAAGCCATTTGGAGATGGTTTGCATGAGAAGACTTCTGTGATGATGACTTATGCCGCCGTCCTATCATGCTTTGAGACGTGACATGCCGTCGGATGAGAGTGGCATGCCTCCAGCCCTCTGCCCTACATGCAACATTGTACTCCCTCCGTCCTAAAATAAGTACAGTTTTGTACTATTTACGTTCAAGGTTTGACCATTCGTCTTATTTGAAAAATAAAATTAGTATTTTTATTGCTATTAGATGATAAAACATGAATAGTACTTGATATGTGACTAAATATTTTTAAATTTTTCACAAATTTTACAAATAAGACGGACGGTCAAACGTTGGGCACGGATATCCACGGCTGCACTTATTTTGGGACGGAGGTAGTAGTTGTCTTGTCTTTTCGCTTATGCTTATCAGCTAAAATTTAAATATTCAACCTTAAATTTATTTGGAGTTGATTTTAGGGTTTTTTTTCATTGAAATTTATTTTTCAGCCTTTGCTTTTAGATCACTAAGAAGTAAGAACACGTATATAAAAGTTTTATTCAATAATTATTTTTCGTTTGTAAATATGCTGCTCGAATAAGCGAAACAATGGGGCCGGTTTCATCCTACTTCTCACGATTCACAGGTTAGGACTATTTAGTGGAAAACTTTTATGAATTCCTATAAGGAGTTCCCTTGTGTAATGAAATACTCCCTTCATAAAAAAAAAAGGTCCAATTCTAAGCAATAAACCTTATAGGCAGTGAGTTTATCTAAATACAAACAACAAGGCACTATAACTTTGGACATAACACGAGTGATTCCTAACTTCTTCATCCCCAAAATCCTCGACAACACAAATCATTTTCACCCCAAAGTTCCTAACAAAGGATAAAGCCATTTATTTCTTTCCTTTTTTTCACATCAATTTAACTGAACTACAACAGTCTAGAAACTCAACCACATATTGTGGGTCCATGATAATCCCCAACTTGAACCTCATCCATTTAACAAACCTCCAAAAATGTCAACCTCAAAAGAGAAAAAGAAAAGCCTACAAAATTTTTCCTCCTTACGGACTTCTTCCAAGTTTTATTGTGTACTACATCTTTTATTATTTCTTTCAAATTTCATTGTTTTTTTTGTGCTTGTGTTGTGTGTTCTTCCATCTGGCAATGGCATCTGCAGCAGCATGACCCACCGACTACTATAATACTCCCTCCGTCCCACAATATAAGGGATTTTCAGTTTTTGCTTGCAACGTTTGACCACTCGTCTTATTCAAATTTTTTTTCAAATATAAAAAACGAAAAATTGTGCTTAAAGTACTGTATATAATAATAAAGTAAGTCACAAATAAAATAATTAATAATTTCAAAAAAATTTGAATAAGACGAGTGGACAAACGTTACAAGTAAAAACTCAAAATCCCTTATATTATGGGATCGGAGGGAGTAGATTATACTAGTATAATAAAAATAGTATTACCTTTCTTACTCCCTCAAAAAAGCCACGGTTTTTTAAGTTTTTTACACACGCACCGCCGAATACTTGTGTGGATGCCATCGGAGAGCGCGCCGAGAACACAACCTCCGCGACAGCGACGCGCTCCCTCCGCCGCCGCCGCCGCCGCCGCTGCCACGCGAAAGGCTCCGTCCTCGTCCTCGCCGGCTCCGCGGGACCCTGCTTGATGCTCGCCGTCTGCGCGCGGCACGGGCCCGCGAAGCTTCCGCCGCCGCCGCCGCCGCTCGCCGGGGAGCGGGCGGCCGCATGGGTCGTCGGGAGGTGGTGGTGGAGGCCGGCGGCGGCGGGGCGGCGCGGCGTCGTCGCCGCGCGGGCGTCGTTCTTCAGCTCGCGGATCGGGCTCGACTCCCAGGTTCGTCGGTTCGATCGCCCGCCGCTCGTGAGCATTTCGTCGAATATCTGCGGGGCGGTCCTTGCCGCGCTGCTTTCTGGGGGTCGTTGCAGCGTAGTAGTTCTTGATTTTTAGTTATCAATTTCCGTTGCTTTCTTGTACATATGGCTGATGAGTGATGACCTGTGCTTTTGTTCACCTTGAGATCATCTGGTACTCTGGCTTGGGGTGCATTTAGTACAACAGTTTGATAGTACTCTACAAATGAGCTTGAATTTTTGTTTCTCGATTGTTTGTACCGATAGCTGCATATGAAGTTTGATTTCTAGTTCATTAGGTTTGAAGTGAAATGATTATGTGTTGATTGATCAAGTGATTTCTTGTAGAATTATCACACAAGGGACCTGTCCCAACTGTTGTGGGTGGGTCCGGTGCCCGGCGACATTGCAGAGATTGAGGCATACTGCCGCATATTCCGTGCAGCTGAGCAGCTCCACACTGCGGTCATGTCTGCACTCTGTGATCCAGAGACAGGGGAGTGCCCTGTCCGCTATGATGTGCAAACCGAGGACCTGCCAGTACTGGAGGACAAGGTCGCTGCCGTGCTCGGATGCATGCTGGCATTGCTGAACCGGGGCCGGAAAGAGGTGCTCTCAGGTCGATCAGGTGTTGCGAGTGCATTTCAGGGATCTGAGGACAGCACAATGGATAAGATTCCACCTCTCGCCTTGTTCCGTGGGGATTTGAAGCGATGCTGTGAGAGTATGCAGGTTGCACTTGCCAGCTACCTTGTGCCAAGTGAGGCCCGAGGGTTGGATATATGGAGGAAGCTGCAGAGGCTGAAGAATGCCTGCTATGATGCAGGTTTTCCAAGGGCTGATGGTCATCCTTGTCCAACTTTATTTGCGAATTGGTTTCCGGTGTACTTTTCAACTGTGCCAGATGATTCATTATCAGATGAGTTAGAGGTTGCATTCTGGAGGGGAGGGCAAGTCAGTGAGGAGGGACTGGAATGGTTATTGTTGAAGGGATTCAAAACTATTGTTGATCTACGGGAGGAAGATGTTAAAGATGATTTGTACCTTTCAGCAATTCATGAAGCTGTCTCATTGGGAAAGATAGAGGTGGTGAATTTGCCTGTTGAGATTGGGACTGCGCCCTCTGCTGAACAGGTTCAGCGATTCGCGGAAATTGTGTCTGATAGTGCGAAGAAACCCATTTATCTTCATAGCCAGGAAGGGATTAGTAGGACATCTGCGATGGTTTCGAGATGGAAGCAGTACGTCACTCGTGCTGAGAGACTGGCTACTCAGAACCGTTCATTAAATGGGAATGGTAAGCATGTGAGGAATGATCAAACAGAACAGCTCACAAACAGCCCAGGTTTCTCCTCAGAAGGTAGCGAAAACGGTACACCTCTGGAATCCGATAGAACCATGGAGGGGGAAACATGTGACATAGACATTGAAACAGCACGTCATAATCTGGAAATCACTAATTCCCTTCCCAGTGAACAAAGTACTGAACAAGGTGAACTGCATGGCACCAGGACAGAACTTCAGTCAAACTTTAGACTAGAGAGTAATCCTCTTAAGGCACAATTTCCTTCTTGTGATGTTTTCTCCAAAAAGGGGATGACTGACTTTTTTAGAAGCAAAAAGGTATATCCAAAATCTGTTTTAAACCCTCGGAGACGGTCGAATAGCTTGTTGGTCTCAAGGAGAAAACAAAGTCTCAGTGCTGAACAAAATGGAGCCATTGACTATGAAGCAGCCGAATTTAAAGTTCTAAAAAGTTCGAATGGAGCATCGTTCGATAATGATTATATTCTATCAGTTGCTTCAGGTATTACTAATGGAAAACCATCCAACAATGGAGCCTCCACATCTGTTGAGGACAGGGAAATGGAAACCTCAGTTGTAACAGTTGATCCTAGGACATCTGATACCAGCAATTCTAATGGCAATGCTCCACTTGGATCACAAAAATCTGCTGAAAGGAACGGTTCTCTTTATGTGGAGAGAGAAAAATCAGATCATGTTGATGGAAATATGTGTGCATCTGCAACTGGTGTTGTTAGACTTCAGTCAAGAAGAAAAGCAGAGATGTTTCTAGTACGCACTGATGGATTTTCCTGTACAAGAGAAAAAGTAACTGAATCATCTCTGGCTTTTACGCATCCTAGCACCCAGCAGCAGATGCTTATGTGGAAATCTCCTCCAAAGACTGTCCTACTATTGAAGAAATTAGGTGATGAGCTCATGGAAGAAGCTAAAGAGGTGTGTACATAATATTTCCCTGCTTATGGATGTATCTTTAACACTTCTAATCACATATACAGCATACATCTTGTGTCAGGTAGCAAAATATAGTTGAATCATCTGAAAGGAAACATTACATTTCCTGCTTATGGATGATATACATCCATATCATTGGCTTGTACGATGCATATAGTGTTAGAGAATATATTTTTTTTTGAAAGTTGTATGCTTCATGGTCAGAAGTCACTTACTTTTTTGTATTGGTACTGAGCAGTCAGCATTTCATTGGTTTATAGTAAGATGCTGGACTGCAACAATTAATTGAAAGCTCTTTAGGGTTATATCAGGAATATTTTGATCGATCAACTGTTCTGATTCAAGTTCTTGCGTCAAAATTCAAATGAGCTGTATGAATCAATATGGACATGTCTGGCTGGTTATTGAATTGATTGGATAAAATAGCCCTTTTTCATGTGCGGTGGATTTAACTGGTAGAACTCATTTCATGGTATGGATATTTTGTGTGACTTCACAGTGTTGTGGATGAAGTAACTCTTAAGGATTTAACGTGTATAGCTCATGCAGTGTATGTTTTTCTTTGGCAACATATCTTTGTGAGTGTCAAAGATGGTCATGATTTAGTTCTCTTCTAAAAACTGATTACTACTGGCCACTTAGGCTATATGTTTCATGTATTTCCACATAATTCCCATCTCTTTTTGGAAACAAGCAT